TCTGTTACAGAGACCTATGGGGCTTGGTCCCTGAGGCAGTTGCGGTGGCTTCTTGGAGGGTAGAAGAGGCCTCTGGGGTGGTGCAGAGTGACTAGATGGGGGTGGAGGGTAGGCAGGAGAGCGTGAGGGGCCACTTGTGGAGAAAGAACATCTGGTCTGCAGCTCAAGGAGGTCGTCCGGTGGGGGTCACATGACAGGTTCCAGGGAGGGACCACTGGTCAGAGAGAGAGTCTAGCTCAGAGCCCCCGGGGGGATATCACCCCCAAACAGTGGAGGTGACCAGATGCCCCCCACGGCTTCGAGATGACCCAGGGCATTCACCCAGCCTGGACATTTGTCCTGGTGACTGGAAGAGACCCAGGTGTGACAGGCATAGACTTGGCCAGGGCCACTGGAGAGCTGGCCCAGCCCACTGGGCTCTGGAGCTGCAGCGAGGGGTATGAGAGGTCCCCACCGTGAGAGGCCTGTGCTTCCAGGGGCCAGAGGTCTTCAGAAGCATGGCCTCTCTGGGAGCAGACTCATCCCTGCCCCATCGTCCTCCAAGCCTCCTGGCCCTCACCCAGGCTGCCCATGTCCCCTTGGGGCTGCCTTGGTGCAGCCCCTACCCCCCAGCCACCAGTGAGAGGCTACATTCTGAATCCAAGCCCACACTAGGGGTTTTGTGTCGGAGCTCAGGGGGAGTGCTACAGCCAAGCAGCCCGTGGTGGGAGGCGGGGGGGCCCCCTCACCACCCCTGCTGACTTTCCCTCAAGCCCCACACTGCCCCCTTCTCTGAGCCCCTTGGAAAGGCCTGCCTCCCTGTTCTGATAGGATATCCTGCGGGTGATTCAGGGACTCCACTGTTTCTGCCTCCTCCCGGGGCTGTGTGCGAGGTGGCTGTGATGGCTGTGACTGGAGCCTGGGGAGACGAAGGCGCTGGCTGATGGCGACATGGGCATGGAGCTGGGGAGGGACATGACCTTGGGCTGGGGAGGGGGCCCTGCGAGGGGAAGGCAGACTGCACCCGGTAGTCTAGAATCTGAGGTAGACGATGCTGGAGTCATCACTGTGCTCTGAGCCCAGATCCTGAACCAGTTCCTCAGGAAAGCGGGTCCACGGGGGTCCTGGTGGGACCTAGGGGCCCCCTTTTCTGTTGGGGATGGGGGCAGGGCCTCTGCGGAACCAGGTGGTTGGGAAGAGAGTGCATTTCATCCCAAGACCCTGACCAGGCACATGTGCCCCAGCACAGGATGGGACAGGGGTCTGCGGAATGAGCTGGCGCCCCAGGCTGGGCAGCACCTCCAGCTTCATTCCCAGGAGCCCAAAGGGACGAGCTCCAGGTGCTGACCCCATGGCCAGCTGGGTCCTAGAGGCTAGGTGTCTCTTGCCTATGGTGGCAAGCGAAGGGTCATGGGACCAGGCAGGGACACAAGGGTCCCTGCTCTCAGAGCCATGGTTCTAGCCTAGCTCTGATGAAAGACAACCGTGGTCTCACTTTGCTTCTGCGTTTCCTGTGTCATTACCTTTTAAGTAGTAATGAAATCTGGCAGGAAGACGGCAGCATGGGGACCGAAGGGTTCAGTGGGTTACATCATTAAGCTTGCATCTGAGGTTTCTGGGCAAGCCCATGTGTGCCAAAATCCCTCCCAGCTGCTCCTGAGGGCCTGAACCCCCTGCCAGACCCCAACCCCAAACGGAACAACACCAGCAATTCCTGAAGGTGCTTCCAGGGCCCTCTCTGAGCCTGAGCAGGCTAGTGCCCTGGGGTGCAGGAGCCACGGCCGGCCCTCCATGGGACAGATGGGCCTGGCAGGTGCAGGCCTCCCTGGAGGGAGCAGAGGGGCTCCTGGGGAGGGCTGGGGCAGGGTGCCCGGCTCCTCTCTTCTGCCATCTGGAGTGACTCAGTGGGGGCTACAAAGGGGACTCGGAATGGCAGGGGGTCCAAACCCAGCATCCTGTGGCCTTTGGCACAACCTTGCTTTGGGTCAGGTGTTCTGGCCTTGAAGGGCCCATCTGGAGGGCAATGCATTTCCTGAGCTTGCAGAGGGCCGGCCTCAGGGCTGTTTACCTGGGGGGCCAGCTGGCCAGGGTCCCACCGCCAGGCCTTGGCTGTGGCCAAACACACATGTCCCAAATGCTAACCTCGTAGTGGGATACCCTTCCCCACCTGCTGGCTCCTCGAAATCCACCCCGCCCCCAGTGGCATCACTATTCACCTCCTCTGTGCCCTGAGCCCGTCATGGATGGCGCCCACATCCAGGTGCCTTCTGAACTCACTCCGGATCTTCCTTGGCTATCTGGAAGCTTCCTGCTAAGCTCCTGCCTCGAGGCAGGACCTCTTCTGGGCCCTCACAGGGCCACAAATCCTACCACAGGACCAGACCAGGCAAGGAGGGGCATTTGCAGCCGGTTCGCCTCACGTCCTCACCACCTGCCCGGAGCTGGCCCTTCCTGGGCCTCGAAGCTGCCCAATCTCCCTCTCCTGGAGTGGGGCACCAGTCCCTCTGATCCCGGACTATTTCCTCCAGGGGGATCTGAGTCCTAATTGGGCCATGCACCCCCAGGGTCAGGGCCTGGGCACCTGTGAGACATGAGGAGGATCACTGTGTGGTGGGAGGTGTAGGAGGGGAACGACAGAGACAGGTGGTGACCCCACAGGGAGGACGGGGACAAACTGGGAGGGCCAGACAGCTCTGTGGGCCCCTGGCTCAGGGCTGTGTGTGGAGCTCAGCTAGGTCCCGATCATGGAGTCAGTGGGGCTGTGGAGCCCCCACTGAGATGAGGACCTCTGCGCTCCTCTGTCCTATGAGCCTCACGGCCCTGTCACGGCACATGCAGGACCCTCCCCAACCTGGCTGTTCTGAGGTCAACAGGGGTCTCCTGCAGATGGCTCATGAGGGTACCAGGGGCCACTGGTTGGGGGGCCTGCTGTGGATTCCACGGAGGTCACCTCTGGGGTCACAGGAGATCAGCTCTGGTTCACCCTCCAGGTCCATCTGGTGGCAGGGGTGGAGGGAAGACGCTCCAGAGGGCAGAAGGGACTTCTCTCCCTCTAGCATCCACACTCAGGTTGAGGACACTGGAAAGGCCAGGCTGGGCAGATCCTGAGCGGGGGCTCAAGGCACACCCTCAAGACTCTCATGCACCTGGGGACAGCAGACCCCAGAATGCCTGTCCCCAGACCTGCTTAAGGCCTGGAGCTATAAGCCACCTCTCAAGAAGGGTCAGGGGAGAGATGAGATGTGATGGTACCTCTCACATTCTGGGCGGGCAGCCAGGGCAGTTAGTCCTGCAGCCCTGGCTTGAGTCTTATGTCCTCTCCCCAGTCTCCCCTTTTGGGCAGCAACCCCCACCCTCCCCTACCTCCTGGCCCAGATCTGAGTGACAGGACCTGTCGGCAGGAGAAGGTGAGAATGTACCCAGGGCCTCGGGATCCGGAGAGGCTGTGCATGTCCTGAGGGCTATGTCTTGGGACGTGGACCTCCTCCAGGGTCACTAGGAACCTCGCTAACCAAAGTGGCCACTGAGTGGAGTCTGACCCCTTACTCCCAGGGAGAAGGGCTGACTTCCTCCATACCCTCCCCTTGGGCCCCTACCAGGCCACTGCCAGGCACAGTAGGGCCTGGAGATGGTTATCGAGGGGTGGGAGCTGGTAGCAGGGTGCCCAACAGGCTAGGCCTGCAACTCTTCCAGAGTTGAGTCTGAGCTTCCGGGGGTGCTGAGGGGAGGGGCGGAGAGGACCAGGGGGTGTGGTCTCCCTGGGGTTGGGGCAGGGGCAGAAGCAGCTCCAGGGGCCGCCCCTTCCACCCCAGGTCCAACAAGTCCTGACGACTCAGTTGGGAGGGGTCTGTGGCAAGTTAATGCAATGTCCACCAACGTTATCTGCCCACCAACCCGGAGATCAGCCCTGGGCCAGCAGCCGGAGCAACATTTCAGCCCCGCTGTTTTTTGAGACCCGGCACGCCGCGGAGCCGCACCCCTCCCCACAGCACCCGCCGCAATTCTCGCCTACCCCGGCTTCGAGCCGGGGGGTCTCTCGACTCCCGGGAGGGGCGGCGGGACTGGAGGCTTAGCGTCCGACCTTGCGGCGACCCGGCTCTCCCCGCAGTGCGGCTTCTGCCGCGGGGAAATCCCGGAGGCTCGGGGGAGGGGGCGGCCGCAGCGGGGGCGGGGCTGCGGGGACAGCCGGGGCGGAGCGGCCCTTGTCTGCAGTGACCTTCACGCGTCCCTGCCCTGCGAGGGGCCCCCGGCTCTGCGCCGCCGGCCCCAGCCGCGCTCTGCGCGGGTCTCCTCCCCCCACCGCAGCCGCGCGGGCCGCCCGAGGGGGCGGGGGTCTCCCGCCTGCGTCCCACTGAGATGAAACTCAGGGTGGCGTCCTCCCTTTCTCGGACGCTGTTACACTGAAAAATAGGTCCGGGCAGGTCTGCCGTTCTCTCTCGGCCAGGGGTGGGTGGGTTTTCAGAGTCTGGGGGCTCCCTTCTCCCGCCCTGGGATTCGGAGGGGCCGGAAAGCGGCGGGGTCGGGGTCGGGGTCGCGGGTAGCGCTCAGGGGCACTCGTCCGGGTTCACTGTTGCTGACGCGACGGGAGCCCCTTCCCCCGCGCGCCCCGGCGGAGTGGAATGGGGAGGGGAGCCGCGACCCCCAACCGCCAGGCCTCTCCGGAAGAGAAAGAGCTTTTGAGGGTTGCACACGTATGGGTCCCACCTGCGCTCGCGAGGTACCCCGCACGGGCGGGGGCGTGAGGGTGCGGGACACTGTCTGCAGGAGGGCGACCCCCGGCCGGGTCCACACTGAGGAGGTCGGATGGTGGTGGGGGGGCGTATCGGGGATTCTAAGCCCCTGGGCGGGCGGGTGTCGCAGGCGAGGCTCTGAGACCCCACCGCATCTGGCGAGGGGGCAGAGCTTGGGAGAGGAGAGGGGGGCGCGGCTCCGTCGCCCCCGCCCCCGGCCCCCGCCGGCGCCCGCCTCGCAGCTGCGGCCCCGCCCTCGTCGTCACGCTCGGACGCGGGCGGGGGGCGGGGTGCGCCTCCATGTGACGCGCCCTCCTCGCGGTGCCCTTCAGCCGCCGCCGCAGTTCCCGGGGCGCCACATGGACCGGGCCAGCCCGAGCGCGCTCCGCCACTGACTGCCCGCCCGCCCGCCAGCACCCCGGCCCGGGGAAGGTAACCCACGCTCCCGCGCGCACCCCACTCCAGGCCGCCCCCTGCCCAGCCCGCCCCTCCCCGGCCCCCGCGGGGCGCGCTCGCGGCCCGGGCGGGCGCTGTCCGCCGGCGCGGTGCTGAAGCGGGCCCCACCGTCCCGGCCCGCGCCCTCCCTCCTTGTCGCTTCTGCCTTGCGCGTCTCCCCTTCCCCTTCCCGGTCCTCTGTCTCTCTCTCCTGGCGCTCTCCCGCCTGAGGGCCGTTCAGCAGAGCCGGGACACTCGCCCGCCCGCTAAGCCGAGGGGTGCGGCGGCAGTGGGAGCCCCGGCCCACACGGGGAGGCAGTGGGAAGCCTGGGGGAGTTCCAGGAGCACCCCGAGCTTCACTGTGGCTGGGCCCTGAGTTCCCCACCCCCTCAGGAGCCAGGGGAGAAGTTTGGAAGAGAATCTGCTTTGCGGCAAGGGCGCCCCTGCGCGCCAGCGCTTTGCGGTGAGGCGGGGGCACTCCCACCCGGTCAGCCTTCCTCAGGCCCCGAAAACGCTGGTCTCCTTCGTCTGCAGAGGAAAACATCGTAAAACACTGGGTCCCAGAGCCCTGGGTTTCCCTGCCTGGAGGGACCCCACAAGTGGGGAGGGAGGAGCCTTGCAGCCGCTGAACCTACAGGCAGCGCTGCCCCACCAGAGTTCAGCTGACCTGAACCCTGGAATGCCCCACCCATGCAGATGCAGGTGGGAGGGGTCTGACCTCCCATTTTCATTTGTTCCCTGAAGGCTGGGTTCCTTGCAGTCTTTACCTTCCACCCCAGTCTCTGCGCAGGGCAGCAGCAGTGGGCCCTGGAATTTCCCCTGGGTAGAGTCTGGTCTGCGGGCCCCTGAGACTCTGTCAGAAGCCAAGGAGGCCTCTCCCAAGTCGCATCCACTCAGGCCTTAGCCCACTACACCCTTCCTGTCCCTTAGACGGATCCCCCACGCCCCTGTGGCCCAGGGCCCACAAGGCTGCAGAAGAGCTAGTCACCTTCAAACATCCTATGGCTCTGCCCCAGCCCTGCACAGCCTGGCCCCTTCTGAGCCGTGCTCTCCAGCCCCCATCCCTGCAGTAGCCATCGAAAGCTGTTTTCAGAAAACCAGGGGCCAGGAGAGACCACTTTTCAGGTCCAGCTGGGGTCTCAGGACCTACCTGCCATGGTCAGCATGTAGGGTGGAAACTCTCCTCCACAGAGACCCTCCCAGACCCTCCCAGGTGTCCCTGTCAGTGTCGGGGTCTAGCCTTGGGAGGGGGGAATGGACAAAGGATGCTCTCTTCAGACCACAGACCCATGCTCAGGGAAGTCAGGTCTGGATGAGGAAAAAGGCCACCCCCAGGCCTGGTCAGGGTGACCTGTGACCACTTCCTTTCCCCCAGGCAGAGAACTCCTGGCCACACTTGCATGTGAGTTCCGACCCTTGGAGGAGCCACTGAGGAATCAAAGCCATCGTCATGGAGTTCGTGATGAAACAGGCCCTGGGAGGTAGGAAGTTGAGGGTGTGGGGGCCCAAGGCATGGGGCTGGGGCTGGGCCCTACATTGGAGCTCCAGTTGCACGGGGGCACATTCAGCACATGGTCACCTTCAGACTTCACACATGCCTTCACCACACATCCCCGGAGACACAGCCCGCTCCTCCCTCAGGACAGAGCCAGAGGGCAAGAAAGGGACCAAAGCCAGTGCCTCCCAAATTGCTTTGGCCATCACAGAGGTGGGGGAGGGCACACACTGGCATGCTGTGGTCAGGGCAGAGCCCACCAGACAGTGCTGAGGCTGGGGTCAAGGGTTAGGGAGCAGCATCATCGCTTTTGGGAGAATAGGCCAGGGTGGGTTTCGTGGGCACCAAGGGCCAACCTGATTGGCAGGGTGTGGCAAGCAGCTGTGGGGAGGCTGCAGAGGGGGGTGGAGGCCAGACCTGGACCTGTGGTGTCCAGCAAGGACCCCATGGGTTCCACCTATGCATAGGGAACCAGGGTTGGCTGAGCAGGGGGACAAGAGAAGAGGCTAAGATAGCTGGTGTGTCCCTGGCCCACTTCCACAGAGACCGTGCTAGGGGTGTGTGTGTGTGTGTGTGTGTGTGTGTGTGTAGGGGACCACCCTTCTGACCCTGCTGACTCTTACCTGAAGAGAATCCTGTGCCTCTTTGGTGCAAGTGCCATCACTGAGGCCAGAGACACTGGCCTAGGAGGTGGGCAGGCACTGGGCTGAAGTCACACTCGGATAGGTGCGTCCTGGGAGAGCAATTTGTCCAGCTGGGGCCCGGGGGACCCATCCTGTGTGCTCCAGCCCCCCTGCTTGCAACACCAGCTCCCCAGAGCTCCCTGGGAGGGGAACCTGTGGCCAGCCCCTGACTCTGCCATTCAGGATGTTTTCCTTTGGTGGCCTCCATGGGCCACACCCTGACCTGGTGCTGGGCACAGCATGGCATGAGTCAGGTGCTGTGTGACAAGGCCATCTTCATGAGGCTGCTGCAGGGTAGGAGGAATCGGGACCTGGCTGCCAGAGGTGGGGAGCGGATGGGGCTGTTGTGCCGTGATGGAGGGTGGGCTGGAGGGCACGATGGTGGGGCCGGGGCCACCAAACCCAGGACAGGGGCCCTATGGGTGGGCTTGTCTCTTGCAGAATGACTGCATTTCTGCTGCCACAAATTAAATGGAAAGACATTTGGGCCTGGCCCGGGGCCACATTTCCTGAGATGCTGTGGTCAAGGATAGGCTGCAGGTTGGGTCTAATTATAATGATTACGTCACCAGGACGTGATTCAGGGACAAGCATCCTGGCACCGGGAGCAATTCATGTTCCCACCCAGCCAGTCCCCGGCTGTTACAGATAATTAATTAGGTGGCTAATTCAGGCCCTGAGGTGGGTTTGTAAGAAACCTGAAATATCTGATTTGGCTGTCTACATGGCTGAAATTAGCTGGGTAATTGCCAGCCTGGATTCCCTTTGTTCCATGTCAGCCCAAAGTTTCTCCTGTGGCGGCGACAGGGCGGGCTTCTTGGGGCCACGGGGGAGCTGCAGAGGGGCAGCGGGCCGAGGCACCTCGGAGCAGCCCCCCCAACAGGTGCCCGCAGGGCCTCTGCCAGGGGCTGCCCCCCAGGATTTGTCATCCCCCCGAGGCTGGGGCTGGGCCCTACCTCGGAGCTCCAGGGCGAGCCCTTGTGTTTTTCTCCTGTGTTTTCTCTCCCACCCGACAGGCATCATATTGGCCTCTTGAGATGAGTGGGTACAGACAGAGGAACAGAGACTGACCCGGACCCAGACCCAGAGAGATGGACCCGAGAAATAGAGAGCAGGTGTGGGGTTGGAGAGAAGGAGAGAAGGTGCCCCGAACACATAAGACAGACGTGGGGAGGTACAGGCCTGAGGGAGAGGGACAGTGGGGCACAGGCTGTTTGAAAATCTGTGGAGTATGGGAGATTGGAACAGAACAGCCAGGAGAAGAAGACAGGGTCCTTAGACCAAGACTGAGGAACACAAGGAAACAGGACAGGAGACCGAAGTGTAGGGTGGATAGCAGAGAAAGACACTAAGACAGAGAGACACAGAGACAGAGACAGATGTATGAGAAATAGACTGAGAAATAGAGTCTCACCTGGAAACACAGAGATCTCCTGTGCAGCAGGAGGGAGGAAAGAGGTGAGGGCCTGGAGGGAGCCCCGTGGGTGCAGGACTCACTCAGCCCTACTGGGGACAGGACTTGTTGGAGCCTAGATGAGTCATGGCCATTTGAGACTGTCCCTAGCTTGCTGGGCTGCTGTGTTGTCCTGAGCATATGTCTTATGGTCCACCTCCCAGCCCCCAGCCCCTGCCAGAAGCCCATGGCTGTTTCCATAGGGCCTGCCTGCTCCACTCTGGGGCTCAGGATATGATGGACTGAGTGAGAGCCTGAAATCAGGGGATGCCAGTCCAGAAGGAGTTCAGATGCTGTTTGGACAGTGGTGAAATCCCAGGCGAGCCCAGGCCTTTCCTATAAGCCTCTGGCAATGGCTGGTGCTGCCCAGTCCTGGTAGCCCAACCCCTCTTGAACTCACGCCTGGCCAGCAGGCTTCTGGCTGTCTGCCACTGTGGCTGCCGTGTGACCTGGGCTGAGGGCTGTCTCCTCCATGGGGTCTGGGGACCATGAGGCCACCTGGGAGCAGGGCACAGACCTCTGGGTACCTGCTACTGGAAGAAAGGGAAGGAGGAGGGAGGTGGCTAGCAGTTGCCATGGTGACAAGGGACTGCCCTAGGCAGTGAGGGAGGACAGGACCCAGCAGGCCAGGAGGGGGCCTGGCAGGTGGGAGTGGGACTCAACACCCCAGGAAGGCTGCCAGCACTAACTGGTGGCCTCACAGAGCAGGTAGGCAGCCATGGGCCACAAAGGAAGGAACAGATGGCTCCCAGGTCTCCTCTTCCTGCGATGGCAGGATCTGCCCAGACGCTCCAGTCCCTGGGCCCCTGGAGTGGACATGGGAGGGCTTTGCACGTTTGCAGTCTCTCAAGATGCAGCCTGGGAGGGACCATGTGGGGCCCCAGGGAAACTTTGGTTCCTTCACAGTCAGCCATGATCCCTTGGGACACTGTTCTGCACCAGGGAGCAGTGGGGGCCGTGGGCACACAGGGCTGGCTGACAACAATTCTCCTGGGGCCAAATTATTGAAGAAAGTGTCCCACTGTTGACAAGTTTGTTCTCACTGAGGGAATATCCTGGAGGCCTTCATGTCCTTGAGCCACCCCAAGATCCGCCCCAGACGTAATGCTCAGTCCCTTGAAGAAGAGAGCACTTATACAGTCTGTGGAAGCAGCTCGAGTGGTGGCCTGGGGATGACAGCAAGGTGGCCTTGAACGGGGGCCATGTGCGCAGATCTGGGGTTCAGGGTCCTCAGGGGCGCAATTTGAAAAAATGGTTTTCCCCCAAGGCCGGGAAGTGGCAAGCAGCCCTGGAGCCAATGGACGAGGGTGTGGGCAGCTGTCAGGGTGGCAACTGGGCGGCTGGTGTAGACTCTCGTCAGGCCAAAGCAGGGGGAATGTGGCTCTTCTGACCCTAACAACTGGTTCGTGGCCGGCTGTCCTGTCAGTCTGCCGTGGTGTGACATGTCCTTTGTCTAAAGCATGCTTGGGCCTCAGGGGTGGTGTGGGAGCAGGGGAGGGCTTCACGGAGGAGGGGGCATCTGAGGTGGGATTCAAGGGCGGGCAGATGACCCTGGGACCCACCATGTGAAAAGGCCCCAGGGCTGCAGTGCTGAGCCAGGTGTGGAAGGCAGCAGGAGATGGGAAGGAGGACATTACAGGACAACTGTGACTGAGCCCACAGCGGGAAGGGGGGGTCTTCTGGCCAAACACAGGCCAGCGGCTCCCTGACACCTTGTCATTGTGTCATGCGTCCTGTGGCGAGTTTGCCTGGGGCATCCTGGGAGTGGGAAGGCTATCCTCTCTTGGGGAGGAGGGGGCCAGTGGGGCCTGTGCCTGGTGTCTGGGGAGGATGGAGGGGGGTGAACAACCACCATCCCAAGGCGGGCATGTCTGAGCAGGGACAGAAGCTGCGCTGAGCCAGACAGACTATGGGCTTAGGGGAGGGAGATGGATCACTGTCTCCCAGACCTACACGGATGGACAAAGAGCATTTCATGGACACATGGCCCAGGGAAAGTGTCCGGGGCTGCTGTGGTTGGGGAGCCTCTGCACCCCCGGGGTGGTAAGGGATATGCTCTCTGCTGGGGGCTCCTCGGGATCAGTCCCCAGAGGTGTCAAGGTTGCCAGGATCAGATACTGGGAGAGAAGGCAGTATCCACCTCGTCGTTCACACAAGATGGGGTGGGCTGGGGTTGTAGCTGGAAGCCCTGTGCAGAGAAGCATTTCCCTCAGCGCTGCTGCCCTCCTCCAACAAAGGGCATATTGGGGCGGGGGGGGGGGCTCCTTCCTCTTCTGGCACCTGCTTTTGTTGAGCGTCCCAAGCCCCCTCTCCCGCGGCTGGGTCTCTGACTCCTGGCTGAGTTCTGTGTGTCTACAGCTGCTCTGGGGACATAGCGTCAGGGATCCCAAGGTCTTTGTAGATCAGAGGGAGCTCTTTCCAGACCCTCCGTACCTTGCCCTCTAGGCCCTCTGCTCAGAACTGCAGAGACAGCCTGAGATCCCAGGGGGTCCTGTCTGGACCCCCCCGGTGTCCTCCATGGGCCTCTACACTGATGGTGAGGCCAGGCAACCCCATCCTGTCCCAAACCCAGGTCTCACTGGCTCCCCACCCTATCTGTCTGTTTTGGAGTTAGCTCTGCTTGTCTGGAGCCTCCTATGGACCTGAGGCTGCCCAGCTGGGACACTCCCAGGTGCAGCCAGGTTCTCTGGGGGTTGGTGGGCCCACGGGCTGGGCTGGGCTGCAGAAGGAGCAGACTGGGAGGGGAAGCACCAGAATTCTGCATTAGGGAAGATGCTTTTGGCTCAAATTAGAGAAACAGAGAGGGGCTTGACTTGGAGGTGGCTCAGCTGTCCTGTGGTGCTACCCAGG